TGCTAAACCTGTCTTTAAACATTTCGATCCTCCTGATTCATTCTTTTAAAAACATGGTTTTCTCTGAGCTTCTGGGGCCTTTCACTTTAACGACACTGAAAGTCGAAAAATTTTAGAACAAACTTTGCTTTGAAATAGGCATCTGGTTCACTGGTTCACAACGGGATGAACTAACGCTTGCTTCCCTTTTAATTGCACGGACACTATCAAGGGACCTTTGCTTTCTTGTAGTCAGAATGATGCTAAAAATAAATAACTAATAGACCAATTTCGAAATATCAAAATTCAGTCTAAAACAATAGACCTCAGTATGAGGCTCTGGGGAATATATACAGAGTTTGTGGGGTTTATTCCCCAGAGCCTCGTGCTGAGGTCTAATTGTGTTGGGCTGAATTTTAATACAGTCAAACCTGTATTAGGCGGACACCCTCGGGACCCTTGCTAGTTTGCGCTTAATACAGGGTATCTGCTGAAAACAGGTTCCCTTAGAATTCGTCTTGAAAGGGTCGTGTCAATATTGGTCAGCATTAAAAGACCTTGAAAGGGACAAATAGCATTCTCGTGAACGATCGATAACTCTGAAATACCGTATTTCCATAAACAATGACAAGTATATAAAGTGAAGCCATTTAAGTATACAGTAACAGTATTTATATTGATCGAATCATTCACAAAATCAAACAAGAACAAAAGTTCTATAAAAACAAAACCGAATAACAAAATATTGCATTTCTGTGACAGCTCAGTTTGTTGGCAAACTTAAATGACCGATTTACCACTGACGTGGACAAAAAAAAGCATGTAAGGTTCCACTGCAGACCGTACATAATTAAAAGTAAATTCTTGAAGAACTGAAATTTGTTGATAAGATGTCACCAAAACAAAAGGGTAGAATTTGAAAAAGACGGTCTGACCTTTTCAATTTGAGATCAAACCTTGGTGCGAGTAACTCATGTCACTCATGGCAACACCCTTCATAAACAAGCATAGAAAATTTTAAACGGCAACCTGAACATTTCTTTCTTTGAATTTTGAAAGTTTTAAGTATGATCACTGACTTTCTTGGTAACAGCATCTATGTGATCATGCCAAGTAATGTTTAATGTTTTCATTGATTTTCACTCAAAAGTGACTTGTTTTTTGTGCTTCCAACTGATAAATTTAAGTTTCAGAGTTGTGAGATTGCTATTGAACCATTTCCAAATAATCTTCAAGTCGACGTTTGAAACTGAACGATGTCATCTGCGCACAAGGAAACACACCTTTTTCTATTTTAATTTTATTTCTATTCACTCACACTGCTTACAATGCTACTACGGTTATTTACACTACTTACAATATTAAAACAGTTACTTAAAACAACAACTGATACTGTAACACAGCTACTTACATTGCTTACGCCACGGTTACTTACTCCACTTTCAATCTGATACTAATCCTTACACTGCTTACATAATTATAGCTTTACTTTTCTGTTACATTTCAGTTCCAAGAGGATAGGATATTTGAAGGTCTTTAGAATGAAAAGTTTTTTTTACTAAATTTTAAACTTTTTTATATCAAAAGTTTTCCACTTTCGTGTTTTTGGAATAGGTTACTTTCAGAATTAGCAGCCTTTGAGGATCGTTACTTTCGGGACCTCGCTACTTTCGGGAGGTCGTTACTTTCGGAGAACAAAAAACGTTATAAAAAGTTGGTACAACTGAGCTTTCTAAACGACTTCAGTACAACATTGCAACTCATAACAAAAACCTTTTTCTCAAAACGAGGTAGAATTCGTCATTGTTCCAGTTTCATGTTACTCACTTGGGGTGGCCTCTGCATGTCTATAACGAAACAAGGAATCTCTATTCCTCCTCCTTAAGCTCCTTGCACCCACACATCCTCAGGCGCACTCCTACTTTGACCAGACTACCGCGTGGGAGAATCAGCCGATTTTTCATTTTTTGTTTTTGTTTTTGAAGCTGAAACATTTCCGTTATTTCCTGCGTTCCGGTTGAAAATGACATGAAGAGATACAACTTTACGTGTCAGCATTTTGGTTCTTTTTCCTGAATTTCGTCCCGGTCGACGCGGTTCAAATTTTGCGCAACGGACCCCTAAGATGGACCGCTCGTGAATTAATTTCGGCGAATGCCAATTGCTCTTTCAACTCATTGCACAAGATAAACAGTTTTTTTATGTAGAAATCTTTTAACTTCATGTTTGGAGGACAGTATAAATGCGAAGTTCACAAAAGCGACGTAAGCAACGTAGATAAATGCTTTAATACTCGCCCGCGCGTAAACCGAGAACGGATAGCGGAGACGCATCAACTTATCAGCGGATTAAAAAGAGCCATTGTATTCAATACTTCATTCAACTAGCTTATTCGGTCCGTATTGGAGAATATTGGTACTGTTCTTTTTTTTTTTTTTTTTTGCAGGTTTATAGACCTCGCCCTGCAACTGAAAGAACTCGACCAATGTTTCTTTAATACGGACCTCACGTTAGTTCAACAACATATATGTGAACAGATAATAAAATTCGTCCCGTTAACCGTGTCAGCCCTGCTACTCATGTGAAGAGGCCCTAAGAGACATAACAAGATAATTGCAGGCAATGGAGTGTTTGATGTCTCCATCTCACTTATTATGAAACAGAAGGAGACACCTTGCTAGAATGAAGACTGTTCTTAGTGAAAATAAGTTTGAAACCCTTTCAATACTAAGGCAGGCGGAACCTAACCAGCATTTAATTATGATCAATCAGTCAAAATTTCTTGATACAGCTTCTATCAACACTACAGAAGTGCCTGATACGAGACTTGAGAACTCTTGAATCAAAAACACTATGGGAGAGGTAAGCTATCTTTCTAGTGGGTACTCCCACTCGCCGACAGGGCTCGGGTGATGAAGTTCATATTGGTACAATTGAGTAAGGGTGCTTTTCATCATGACTTGAAGATAAAGTTGACCTGTTCATTGATAACATAAGGAACTGAGATAAAGTATAGAATATTGCTGCAGAGCCGAGCTCCGTCACGGTAGGATTTAAGGTAGTAATACCAACAGGCAACTGCTTCAATTAACCCGGGAAGGAAACTGCACTGACTCAAATTCAGTACAATCAGTTTTTCTAAACCAAAGAAGAAACTGAGAAAACTAGACACCCCTACGTTACGTTTAAGGAAGTTGCTCAGGTTGTGTTGGTATCGTGCAGATAAAAAGTCAGATTAAGATCCTGAGGATAACGGGTTACAGATAACATCTGAAGATACGTGCAGATAACCCGAATCTCACGATTGTTCGTTATGCAAAAGCAAGAACAACATGACCAATCTTGAATGAGTATTGAAAATGAATACCTGCCCCCAGGCTTTTCTGTTTGTAATAATCTTCATTCTTTTCGTAAAACTTAACGTTATCCAAAAGAGTCTCTTTTTGGTTCCGAGCTAGAAGCTGTGATCTGAAAGGGAGTGGTGCAGGCGTTAAAGACAAAGAGATTCAGAGATCAGTGCTAACAGCTCTCATCCATTTTTGCTACCTTAATTTAACGTCAATTGTGTGAATATAGTGAGCACACTGTAGTCGTGCACTGCAAGAAAACCTCCTTGACAGCAAAGGCTGTCTGATCAGTGACTGTCAAATAAAGGCGACAAAAAGATAACGTCAAAATGTTCCGGTGTGAGTGTGCATGAGTTCGGTTTTGATGTGTTCACCGCACTGATGTGTCAAAGACAGTCAGCCAGCCTTTAATACAGCCAATAAAAAAAACAACGGGCTTTCCTTCAGTGTCATGGAACACTGACAAAAGCTTTTTAAAATATCCGTTTATATAATAGACAGCTGTGTCCACCTGCCTTGATTGCGGATCCAATGCTTTGCTTTGTGTTCGTCTGCAAACGTGTTAATACTTCAACTTTCTACTAAGAGTAATGCACTATGTTAGATCGATGATATTCGGAAATGCTAAGAAACGTCTATCAATCTAGCAAGTGAGGTTATGTTTATGAATACAAGAATTAAACACGAAAATAAATGAAACTAGAATCAATGTAAATCTAGTACCAAGGCGGCTTTATTGCTTGGGAACAGCCTTGGCTAACATAACGTGATAGGGAACAATCATTACTGAGAAAGACTTACTCTCTGTAAAGATGTTTTTGACTACCTAGCGTTCATAAACTCTCAAAGGTATCACCACAACACAAGTAGAATTTTATTTGAAGCTTTCAGTTCAAACGGTCACTAAAGAAACGGTGTAAACATGAATTAAAAGCACGTTAAATTGCGGAACGATTTTTACTTTCTTCATTTGATTGTATTTCTTCAAATCAGTTCCTTAGTGAATTTTATGTTCCGTTCCCTTCGTCCTTTCATTTACTACGGCTGACAAGCTTCAACATAAATCAAAGATTTTAGAGATAGCTAAGTGTTAATTTTAGATCTTTTCCTGACTGAGGGCTGTTTTCATGGCAAAAGCCTGTTTCAAACTAGACATATTTGGATCTGTCTACTAACTCTCTAGGGGTGTGATTTAAAGATACTCCAATCCTTTTGTGCGCAACTTCGGAAGGCTTGTCATCTCACAAAAAAAATCACAGATATTTCTTCACTTTCTGTAAACAAACTCGTGAAAGACACAACACTCTTTTGAAACTCTTTCAGGAAATTACGTAGGTAAGAAAACAAATATTGAGTTGTGATGGGTATTATCTAATACAGACCTTTCGACAACTCCGTCAAAGAAAAATCGAACTCGTTCACCTAAAACATCTGTTGCATTCTAGAATGATCTCAAAATGTCAAATGGAAGTTCCATGTGGTGTAATTTAGAAAACGCAGCTTATTACATTGACTGAAATTGTCAAATCCCTTATAAGCTCTTAGCCAATATATAGTAAAGTACTTAAACTTCATGCCCAAATATCTTATTATTTTTCCATGGAGAAATCAAAAAATGAAACATCTAAACGCCATGACAGTATCTAAAATATGCCTTGTCATCAAATGAACACAATCGGTTTTATCTGCAGAAGAGCTCTGACAAGGTAAGGATTTAAATTTTAATTAAAACTCATTTTTCCAAGATAGATCAATGTAGATTGATAGACGTCCTTTCAGAGTGTCTACAGTTTTACATAAGGTTATTACAGGGATTATGGCTCTCTAATCCTGATTAAAAGCCGAGGTATATGACTGTAAAAAGTCGTTAATTATTAAAGACTTCCTCAGACTCTTACGTGGGGTCAAAATTGCGCAAAATCGAAAGACTGTTGAAAAAGTTGTCTCTCAATTTCGGCTTAATTAATTCTTTAACCGAACAACGGTTTTCTTTCATTCTTGGTAACAGCTGATTCAATTACGTGTACGTTTATCCTTGAAAGTTTGTCGCGAGCATTGTTAATGGAAAAATAAAAAGGAAAATTCTAAACTTAGAAATTTGGGTTGCAAGCTTGTAACAGGAGAAGTAAACAAGTTAAAAAAAATTTGGCTGTCAATCCCTCGCCAATGTCAATTTACAAGGACAACCTTGATATAATTCCGGTATTTACTGCCCACAAACGTTGATTAACAGCAACAAGATATCTTAAAATCCTCTTTTCTAAAAGCAATTAAGCCTACATTAAAACTACCAACGTCAAGGTTTCATTTGCATCGCTGTTTAGAAGAAGTGTTTCACTTTTTATTCCGGTGTTTCCTCCGCCTACAGAGAGATAAACAACTCTTAAAATGCCAAGTTAAATTATTAAAACGCGCTGCAATCTTGATGTTTGTATGTTTATTTTGCGTTTTAATGTTTGTTTGCTCTCCTATTTTATCAGTCTCCAATCGACATGGCTATCGTAATATTTTAGTGTGTAGCTTTGCCTCCGGCCTCCTAGTTCAGATATAATTAATCACAGCACGTTTCCATTGTTGCAAATACAAATAAAATATTTACCATGTCAAAAATGGGTTTTAATGCAGACAAAAACGCTCCCCGTTGCGGTCCTTTTTGAAACCACGATACAGACATCAAGACGAACATGAAAATTCCACTTAGTAAGGGGTGTATGCTGGACATACCTAGCCAAACGCAAGGAGAGCATGCGGTGACAGCGGAAGTCGGGGATATAAAATTCAATTAACAGGCATTCGACACGTAAACAAACCTCACGCTGAATGCAAACAACTTTTGTGGGTTTCAGCAACACCTGCTCATGGATATGGGACTTCAATTCATACGATAAACATTTTATCGATAACCTCGCGGACTACAAGCTTTATTCGAAGCGTTTTCTTCTCATTGACGCTACTGTTCACACAAACACCCTTGAGACAGCTGAATAACAGGGCAGTTTTAGAACGGCAGATAAATAAATATGTCTCCATGGTCTCATGTGTTTTTTACATGAGATACATTCAAGTGTGTTTGTTCGCAATAGGAGTCATTTTGCAGGTTATGAAGGCTAGACCTTTTTTTAACGGCATCGCAGGAACTTGCGTAATTTCCAAACTATCATTCTTATAAATTCCTTTCGACGAAGATAGAAACTCGAGCTCTTGAGAAAAAAATGGCCAAATATAGTATTTTAGTTAGTTCTTAGTGTCGAGAGCGAGCACAAAATTATGATAAGGAGGTGGAATGACTTTAATTTGGGCTGTCTTTTAACGCTGGAAGCAAGAGAATATTTTGAGCGCATTTCCGTGCATATTCCAAGATTATTGTTGTGAAAAAGAATTTTGATGACTTCTTTTGTTTTGTGTACCTGTCAAACCCTAAAACGATTTTCAATTACCGCGAAAAAGAAAACTAAGTTATTTACATTTATCTTCTCGTGTTAGTTGGACGTGAATTCGCATATGAGCAGAGAGGTTATCAATCTTTATTGATAGATAAAGCCGACCAGCCCTATTCATGCGCTATAAATACAAATATAAAGACACTGTGGCATGATAGCACTCATGCAAGCTTTTGTTTTCGAAAGAAGAGTTCCGATTGGCAGACTCGAAACAGTGGAGACGTTAAAAGGGGGATTCCAAGCGATCGATACTGGCTCATTACTCTTGGCTCGTTTAACAGAGTCACAAAGTCTGCGTGGAAAATTTAACGCAAAACATCTGGTCAGGAGATCACAAGTGACTGGTCGAGAAAAAGTGAGAAAGTCCTTCCTATTTTCATGTACCACAAGGTGTGTGACATGGCGAAAGTACGTATTTAATACTGTGGGAGAGAACGAACAAGTTATTGAATTGCTTCAGGGGAACCCCACCACGACACGTCTTTCACAAGCTAATTGAAATTTTCAATCGCATTGGAGCACACTGTGGCCGTCGCAGACCAGCGAATTGATTATCCACGAAAAAATGGCTAATCAAACAGCAACGTCGACAAAACCGCTCGGCAGCGAAGCCATCCCTTTGGGTATCCTAGGCGTTTTAATTACGCTGGAAAATCTCCTCGTTTGTTTTCTGGTGTACCGCTTCCGCAAACTACGCACTTTTACCAATGGATTTGTGGTGTCTCTAGCTCTATCAGACGTTCTTTTCGGTGCCGTGTTGATACCTGTGAACATCACTGATCAAAATAACTCGGTCAACGGATATTTGATTTCCTTTATTCTCTTCGCGAACGTTACCAATTTGTTTGCGGTGACACTGGACCGCTACCTAGCCGTTATGAACTCTTTGCGATATTCCTACACCATGACGAAAAACTTCGCCAAAATTATATTAACGGCTTGGATTTTGCCTGTTCCATTGACACTGTTGCCATTGGCATGGAACGTTGGCTCAACTGCAGAAACGATTTACCTGCTTTTCATTGTAATCGGTGTTATGGTGCCTTATATTTTCATCCTGTTTGCTTACATTAAGATTTTTCGCGAGGTAGCGCGCCAGGTAAAGAACCTTGCCAAACTCGCGACGTACGAAAACCAGCTCCAGGCTACCAGAGAAGGTAAGCGGGTAACTAGCGAAGCGCGCGTGGCTAGAGTTTTCGCTATTATTGCGGGAATCTTCGTTATCAGCTGGATGCCTGTTTTCTACATGACAGCGGCTGACGCGCTGGACAGATCAGAATTTATTCCCCCAGTACTCCCCATCGTTTCGTGGTACACCATGACGGCGGGATCACTAGCCAACGCGGCTGTTTACGCGTTTTTCAAGGGCGACTTCAGAAACGCGTTCTTGCGTCTTTTCCACTGCCGCACGTTTAACTTCCGTCGACATTCTTCTGACGAGGTAATATCAGGGACATCGTTGAACTGAACGCAAACTTTGGATATTTTGTGCCGTATGTTTGCACGTCTGTCGGTTGTGTATTGTTCAGGCTATTTAATAACTTGCTTAAAACGAATAAGATGTCCGCAGTTTTATTCGACATGTCACGAACACCTGACCGGTTGTGACGCGATAACCGTTCAAAGACATAAATCTTTAGGAAAAGTCTTTTTCATTGTCCAAACAAAATTCAGTCAAAAAAAAAATCGTAACATTTTTTAGAACGCGTCTGGTTCTAATCATATAGAAAGGTAAAGAAAAAAGAATCGTGTTTTCCTGAAGGGAGTCTACAGTCGCGCGATTATAAAAGTCGACAAGAATATAAATTTGAAATTCAATTATTTTCTTTTCAGGAGACAATTACAGGCAAAACCTAGAAACTTAAGACTGGAAATTTCTATTTATCAAGCAATACATCTGTTAAATCAATACGGAATAGAAGATCGCTTTTATTTTTTTTAACGAGTGTTTGAAAGCGATGTTAAATACTATGTAGACATTAAATTGTCGTTTTGGTAAAGTCTTGCTGGAATATTAAAATCTGTAATGTAAACTGTAGCTAAGCTACAAAAAAAGCCGCCTTCTTAAAAGCTTGCTTTTTTAATACAAAAACCAATACAGCAAGTTCATGAAATAAACTAAGACGCAGAAAAGGTGATATTGTGTATTCTGGCATATAAACAAAAGCGCTTTATTTACTCTCGCTTATAGCCTTACGAGACTATTGAGCCAATCGTAACAATAGCTATCTGGGCTGTATTTCTGATAATTACAGAATTATCGACGAGTTCTTGGCTGTCAATGAAAAGATGGCCTCAATGGCTTAATAACCTGTACACATTCAAATGTTAACGCGATTAATAAAGGGGATTTTTTTTGTGTGAAAGATCAGTCGTGGTATTAACTGATGATCAATTGCGCGGATGTGTTTTTTGTGTTTTTTCTCAGTATAGCTCCTTGTTGTGTTTCCAATGTTTGGACTCTTAAGTGAGCGTGAGAAGGCCATGTGAATGTGCATAAGTTAAATTTAAACTAGACTCTCGATCACGTAGTCGAGTATCTTCTGATTACTAACCCAAACCCAAATGTTCAAAAGCTATTTATGAAAATTCACTTTCGTCAACAATCGAAAACAAGAAAGTCAAGAGGCGGTAACGAATATATTTTTATACGAAAAAACTCCCGACGGAGGAATTAACAATACCACTAAATGCAAGAATGTTTTCCTCTTCCCATGATATGAATATATAATTCTATTTCCAACCTCTTAGGAACGCATTAAATTCTACTGAGTCTCAGAGCTTGGATCACATTTCTAGATAGATTTAAGAAAATAACAATCTACAATTCAAATTATTTTCAATGCGTTGACGCTATAAGATGAACTAGAACCTTGAGTTAGGAAGACTTGAGAAAAAAAATTAACATTTTTACCTACTATAAAAAGCCTCGCAACCATCCTGGTGCCCAATTTTCGTTACTGTACAAATACGAGAGTATAAATTATTTTCAGTGTCACAAATTGTTAAAAAAAACCCTTTATTTTGCATTTTACGAATGGAAATCGTTCCTTAGACTGTTTGAAAGATTTGTGGAACAGCAGGACTAGGAAATTAAAACGAAACATATGACAATACACCGGAATTGGAACACCATCCTTTGTCTTTCATTTTTAATTTTACCAAATTGAGAAGATGTCAGAATTCTATCTTATCCGACGCTACAAGATTAAAGGGAAAAACCGCAACACAACGCTCAAAAAATCTTGCCTATATCGAAATTCGACCTCTTGAAAGAGTTCCGCTTACCATGATACCAACAAAATGGCAAAGGTTTCTTTGGCTTAAAAGCTAAAACAGCAATTCGGGAGAAAATGAGAGTATGCATTAGCATACAGATGCTAATGGAATAGGCCCATTTGTCCCTGAGCTTACTGAAAGGAAGGCGTTGTGGAGCAATCATTGAAATCAATATACATGGTCGAGTTTGATATGTTTGGGTGATATTCTAAGCTTTTTGATGTGGCTCAAATGAAAATCAAGTCGCTATCAGAAAGAAATCAGTAAAAGAAAAAAAAAACGAAATTATGAAAGGTTTCATTTCGAGGCCACCATTTCAATATATACGCGAAACAAGAAGCTCAGATGAACTCGGTTCCCAGTCAGCCATGTAAAAGGATCAAGGACAAATTATTTTCATTTGCGGAAAATATTGGGATTTTATTCTCTTTTTGGAAAGCTATTTCGGAGAACTGAGGATATCTATAAATCCTAATAACACAGAGAGGGACTAAAAAAAAACATATATACATGCTATTAGTCGGTGACCCAAAAATGAATTGAAATGTAAAATAAATAATCAATAAAAATTAGTCCATTCATTCATTCACTGCCTGAGGTTTTTATGTTTATCGACTGCTGCGAAGAAAAGCCAAAAGCTCGTTGATTAATCGTGGTTAATTATACGTTTTTTTTTTCGTTTTGTCATTACCGGTATATACACGAAAACAAATTACATTCGTCGATTGAAAAGATAAACAAGAAAAACAAAACTGGCAGACAAGTGTAGCAGCCATTTTTTGAGCAAGAAGTAAACAATTAAGATCGAAAGATTCACAGAAAACGACCCAATTAAGTTTTCATTGTAATAGTTTGCAAATTTCCTCAATTGTTTAGAGCTTGCAAACGACATTTTCTGTTTTTTAAGTTACAGCATTAAATTCAACACTTATTTTCTGAGTCAATCATTTCCGAACGCTTAGCACTCTTAAAAATAATCCTGTGTCCTTGATCGTCACCTCCGCATTGTAATTTCCGGTGCCATGGAGAAATCAAGAAGCGGAAAAGATTAGGTCGAGTGGGAAGAGGGGAACTGAAATGATTTCTCCTATCTTTGTCTTAATATGGAGTGTGATACTGAAAAAGTATCCTAAATTTATGCCATTTAAATATCAGTGACTTTTCGAGGGAAAACCCTTACACAATTTTTTAACACGCTGATCAGTGTCTCATGTACTCACATTATCACTTCAGATTCAGTATTATAAATTCTAGCGCCATTCTAAGCTGGTACGAAAGATATGGATGCCTCATGTGTCAATGAGAATCAGGAAAAAAGAAGTTAACGGGCAAAGTTGCTCCGATACGAAACCATGCATGTAAAATGTGTTACTAAATCAAGGAATAGTTGACTTTCATCTTCAGATATTTTGAAATAAAATAAACAATTATTAAACTAATATCTAGTGTGTCTCACATCAGTCTATCCTTCTTCAAACTGTTAGTTGTGTTCAAGACTGTGAGCCTACTGTAAAGGTTAGCGCAAAGAGTATGAAAAAAATTCCTATAAAATTGAGTTTTGAAATAAACAAACGTCAAAGAAAGGACTCGAAAATTCGAGAATACGGCAAGGAATTAGTTTTGGTCTGAGACTAAGGATATTGCCAACACTCGGATATTAGATTTTACTGATTAACGAAAGCTGACTGAAAAGATTCCACACTGAAAAATCCCGTCATATTAAAACTTACACATAACTCGACATTGACAATTGAAATGTTATTGGCAGATTACCTAAAATAGGCTGATAAAAATATAAGATTTCCAAAATTATACAAATAATGGAGAGATCAGAGAGTGTGCCGCCATCACAACTAAATATCTTTAATACGAAAAAAAAAAATGGAGATCTGAAAGATCTTTCACAAAATCCACCAAACCAGCTGAAATATGTCGATTTATCAGATGGCGTGTTCTTTATGACCTGTGATTGGCTTTTGATGATTTCCAACCTGCAAGTTTGATATGCCCCCAAGATATTTTCATTACAGCACGATTCCACTTCAATTTGGAAAACATTACAGATGGGACGTGTCATTTAGCACACTTATTTAATTTTCCGATCTTCAAAACGTTTGAACTTGATGGCCTAGCATAATTACAGTAAATATACACACATTTACGAATTAATGTAAAAAAAAAAATATCCAGGCGTTGGGAGTGTGCAGTAAAAAAAAAAAAAAGAAAAGAAAACGGCAAACCCTCTTTCAAAAGGGAATTATTTGTCATCAATTATTTAGTACCGGCTATGATGGTCTTTATTAACACCTTTTTAATTTGATCACATATCTGGCGTCAAGAAGTCACGAGCTCTATAATTCACAATTCATTGTCACACATGTACAGCTTCTGTTTGCTTCCTCGCTCGATGTTATCTTCGTTGTTGATTGATTCAAGTCAAAACACTAATTTCTGTGGGAAGTATATAATTTTATGGATTGATTTAATGTGAATTGTTGTACGACAAGGTTTATCGTCATTTCTGACGTTCAGAGAGTCTGTTTGCGCCGGAAAGGAGCCACGATTTCAAATCTTTTTTAAATTGTAAATATGTGAATAACATTGGCCTTAACAATTTTCGCTATCATGCTTACACCATCATCAACAATCAGACTATTGTTGTCCAAAAAACGCACAACAATTTCTGACCACGCACACAGTGAATATCCCTGGGCAAATTTGTACAAGCTGAAGGATTTTTATCCAAAAATCTGCAACTTCTCTGCAATCTCTAAACCGAAGTAACTCAGAATGCTAGTAGATACGATTGTGCGAATACTCGGTCTGAGAATAAGTGTAGTTATCTTGGCTTATCTGGAGGTAAAAGGTTGGTTCTGCCAATAAATCGTTAGCTAATGTTTTGTTCACGAGCAGGAAGCAACCTATTCGTTTAATTAAAGTGTTGGCAAATTGCGATCCCAATCGCTATTACTGAATCGTCCTTATTTCTTTGCGCATTGACATCCCCAGTGGTTTCTGAGTGAATGATTCAAGTGCCCAACTGAATTTTTCTTAGTGGTACTACTATGAAGTCCTGACAGATACCTGCAATCACTGACAATGCTAAATAAGGAATGAATGTTGCAAGCGTTTAGGCGTTTCCTTCTGTTATCAGATGGAAAATTTATTGAGGCATTTAACATTGTGCTTGGATGTGTTTGGAAATGCCTCTATTGTACTCTATTTAAAAGCCTTTTAAAATAGAACAATAAAAGTCGTTGATCTTGCCGACTAAATCTCACTAAGAAAATACGATAGGTAATAATCAGTGGTTATCAAGATTTATGAAAATATTCTGGTAAATGATTCTCATTTAGAAAGGATCGGTTTTTAGATACCGTAATCACTACATGGAAGATAACCGACTGCTAATTACCGAGTGTACTCAGTCACCTTTGTGCGCGTTTGATGTTTGCCGAACTTTATGACATTTAACGGATTCTGTAGCCAATTTCGTCAGTTTTCATGCGATAGTGAATAGAAATGTTGTGTCAGTGATCTCTCAGTTCTCGGATTTGCTGCACAAAGATCGTAACTGTAAAATTGAAACTATTCATTCCAGTGAGAGCTAAACAGGTGGATAAACGTGTCAAATTTTAAATAAACACAATAAGCTTTTAGCAAAAGAATATTCAACCATGTTTACACCGTTCCAACTTAGAATGCGCTCTTTACGTTATTGTTCAATTTTTATCAATTTTAAATTCCCTAGTAATTTTCCAACGCATTTCAAAATAACGTCTATTTGACTTTTGCCAATAGCCACCATGCCGGTCGGCACACATAACACAGCTTAAGCAAGAAATCTGTGAATCTAGTAGACATAACATATGAATAATACAGAAGATTCACGAAACATCAAATTTTAACATAACTGGGATAAGAGAATTCAGTTCATGCAAGCTTTAATTCCGGAGGGCTCCCATATGAAAAGGAAGGATGCTCGTCGGAAAATTTGAATTAAACCCCTAACGGCCACCAATCCGGGCGTGGCTCGAACTTTATTTGACCCCGAAAAGATACTTCTTACAACAGAATAGGCTCGATTACCAGCCGCTGCTCAGGAAGCGAGCAAGCGCTCGTAGACGGGCTCGAGAGACCCTCGGAAATCGAACCTACAAACGGAAATAAGAGCGTTTTTTTGTATTATTATTATTATTTCTTCGAGTGCGCTCTTAAAAGATACTTTGACAGCTAAAAATAGTATCATTTCATACTGAATATCCTAAGTGAGACCAAAATCCTTGTTTCCTTCCTCTAAACGAAACACGACGAGCATCCCCGACCTTTTCGTATGCGATTTCCCCCCCCCCCACCCCCCGAGGTTTTAATTAAATATACAGTCCTATATCAGTTGATGACAGCCTTGTATTTCTATTCTATTTAAGTTCTGCGCCTCATTTTGTCTCTAAATAGTGAGGATTTTAAAGCTTCAATTTCAAGCATGTCATACTGCTCTTTTATTTCAGTTTGAAAAATGAAATGTCTCGTTATATATGACTGTTATGGACTCATTGACTCCGACTCCAATTTCAATAATTACTTCAGCGCCTGCCAACATGCAATGCTCGAAACAAAGGAAAACTTGGATCATGACTACATCATCTTTTCCCGACAGAAGAGAATCTTTCTAAGACTTAACCTAGAGTACAGAGGTATCAAGTAATTTAAATTGCTTGTCTCATATGAAAACAACGCAGTGCTCTGACGTCTAACCTCCCACTGCACACGCGGAAAATGGATTTCGAAAAATACATTTTCTCATTTCTACTTGTCGCCAGCAGTTTCTAAACGGATTTAGGAGCGAGTTCAACGTAATACAAGTTGGAACCTATGGCTGAAGTATAGGAATCAAATTCGGCAACACGTTTAATTTTGAAGAAAACAAATTGTAGATTAAAGTAATTCTCATTTAAGAGCAATCTGAGTTTACTCATTGGAGATTATTTTAATCTGTTGCCTTTATCTTTTGCACTGTTAGAGTGTTGCAAAACATGTAAGCCGTAAGCCGTAAGCCGGTGAGGCTGATACGGAATATGGATGTCACTGAAATTCTACCCACTGTAACGAGCACTAACTACTTGTAAGAGTGTCTGAATTTGTACTCGGGTAAAATGATTCGTTTAATCCGAGTTTCAACTGAACATAAACTTCACTGTGGAACCAGAAAGAGAAGGATTCGGTTCTTAATTGCCGCAGGGGGATATGGGACATATTTCCTCTCTCCATGCCCCCGAGTGATTTTTAGTACAGCTGAAGAGAAGCACCGTGAGGGTAAAGCCAGTTTTGCCGAAGATAGATGACAATGGCCACAACATTAAGGGCTCGAGCTCGACGGGATAGCCCCCTGCGCACCTTAGTGGTATGAAAAGCGAACGACGCGTGCAACGAGCACGAATTTATTACAATATTTTTACTGTGGGAATGCGGGTCAAACAACCTAGTAACGGTAGCCCTGTTCTTTCGTACTGTCCGCACGGAACGTAAAAGACAGTCTGGTTTTGGGAAAGGTAAACGTTGGATAATAAATTTTCAGGATAGTTTAGTGTAGCATCTTAGCACAATTTTATTGTGATCAATACAGCAAGACTCCCACAGCAACACCACTCACTTAAACATCTAATAAGATAACGGCTGGCGGTTTATGTATAATTTTTAGGGAGTAAAGGGGAAAATGGGCAGTCAATTCAAGTAATTTGACCTTCAGTCACCATGTCATAAGAAACATATACAAAAACTACACCTTGAAAGGTAAATATGAATTTTCACTGGCAACGCAACGAGAGAACGAAACTCTGCAAAAATTGAACGACGTTTAAAGCGTTCAGTGTCATCAAAACGAGGAAAAGAAAGCGAAACAGTTAATGACCATCAGGAAAGTAATACTTTGTGCTGCCCTGATGTGCACTGTGCTAGAATTTTCTTCTCCCACCTCAAGTCCTGGATCGTACAGAATCCTGTTCATGGCCCTTGGAAATCGGAAAATGAACTTTTGCTTGTGTTGTTGTTCCATGAACTTGGGGTAGTCGCCATTCCCAGGCATCTCCTGTATCACGTTGTCAACCATAACCTAAGTCAAGGAGGTCATGCATGTTCAGTAAAACATAAAGTTTAGTTACTGATTAATCCTTTCAATAGCAAATTAACGGCTCAACAACTCTGACAAACTCTTTTTTAGTTAAAAGAGTAAGACAAAAAATTCCTTTTAGTAACACAAAAATATGGCCTATAGAAGACCATTGGTTCAAGCTGGGTCAATCGATCAGATGTCAAAGTGTGAAACAATGAAACAAGAATTAAACGGTTGTCCAATCGTAAGCTTTAATATGGCTTGCGGTAAAAAACCATCGTGCAGCACGAAGAAAACTCAATTTCGACAACTACCATTGGGCGCTCGTGAACGTGCTCTTGTTCCAATTACGTAACAAAACCTGGTGGAAGAGGATCACATAGATACGAGAATTTTGTTCTTCCGACCCATTATAATTACCCCCCGGGAATTATGAACAAAGCTGAAGTGATGGTTAACAATAGTTTTTCCCAACGAACATTTAAAAAGTAGAGAGAAATCCATTTTTACTGTTCTAACATAGCGTGAATTCATCGTCCTATCGAAAACATGCTTTACTAAAAGACACCTATTTTACGACCAGAGGTTACGACATACATACGTTCGTGACTTTATTTTGTCTCGAATTTAAAGTGTAGCTAAGAAGCTAATATCTTCGAGAAAAATAAAAACTGTAAATATAAAAACAACAAGTACTACTACTAGCTATTATATTTGACTACCTTATTAAAAAAAAGTTAACTAATTTAGTGATCGGCAATTATGCCTGAAAGGAAACTGTTTTCACGAGGCGTTTAAACTAGATAAAGTGGCTCCATTCTAATGTTCTCAGGTAGAGAGTTCCAAGATTTGAAAGCAAAATACGTAAAAGAGTGAAGACCAAAAGAAGTGGATGTAGACTTGCACATTGAAAATCTATCTGTTCCTCTAACAGAGTAGACCGTAGAACACGGAGTTAATAAATCCTTAAGATACTTAGGGTAGAAAATGTAATGTAAACATTTATAAATAGTAATAAACATATTCTGTTAATTCCGACAAAAGGGATTTTTCTGGATATACTTGCTGAATGAGTAGTACCTGCGAGCTGAGTACCATTTCTGATCCTCCACCGATATCAAACTCTTTGGGACATTTGTTGTATTGTTTTGGTTTGAAGCATCTGGGACCGCGGTTCTTCCCCATCTTCACCCTTCCTTTTTCTACTTCTTCTTTAGTGAAAGGCTTGGGTTTTCCCTTGCTTTCGATGACTAAACTGACATCTATAAACTCTCCTTCATCGCCACTGTTACAGTCCTCGAGCGAATTGTTGGTGCAAAACTTCCAATTTTCTATCTACCAAAACGAAAGAAAAAAACAAAACAAAACAAAAAACATATGTTGACATGTCTTACACAAGTCAGAGCAAATTGTATTTGACCTTCAACTGATTACTATACGCGAAAACAAAAAGCAAAAAAACAGACCAAGGGATAGAGAAGATGAAATTGCTTTAACAAACGTAGACGAGCGCGCGCGTGGGTTGGTTTGTCTGAGCGACGCTGCCACCCCAGAATGGTAGTTGATTTGTTTGCTCTGGCATTGCTTTAATTAATTTGCGCGTGGCAAGAATGCAGAGGAGCTCTTCACTTGCCACGCAGACTAATTCTCACTTTTCATCAGCTTTTGATTGGTCATTTTAAAAATGGATTCTTCAATCACGTCGAAGCTAAACGGGAAGGGGTGGGGGGGGGNGGGGAGGCGGGTTGAAGTCCTTATATGGACTACATAGGTATGTGCAGCCCCAAAGGGTATGGTTTTTCAGTCATTTTGGTCATAAATGGCCATTTTGGTAATAAATAGGGTATCGAATTTTTGGTCAGGTCATAAATAGGGTTGCTAAATACGCAGATCTTGGTCACAAATAGGGTAAGGAGTTTCTGGCCGCACACCCCCACCCCAGCTTGAAGCTTACCTGAATATTAAACTTGAGCATGCCTTTCCTCATCTCCGTGGTCTCGTTTCCAAAGGTGATGTTTCCAGACTCCTTAAACATGTAAGCCATCACGGTCAGAGACGCGTTGGGTCCGGGTAGAGAAGAGCTGAAGTTGAAGTTCTTCACAACAAGCCCTTGGTAAGTTCCAGCTGACGGGTCGGTGAAATTGAACTCTTGCTCAGAAAACTGGTCAAACATATGCCCTTTGCGACCGACTTTTCCCACAGAGATTCCACTTTTGCTCCGTTCCTGCAAACTGTCAAACTCAATAATAACTCGGTAGTTGTTTTCGTCGGAGAAATCCCGTTTCTTTCCTTCAGGTGGTCGAGCACACATTATTTTTCCCGATTCCTCAAGAGCTTTGCAAAACACGCCACCCACGTCAAACTCCTTACCATGACCTTCTGCAGAGCTTGCTGAACCATGACCTTGTGCAGAGTTCACTGCTGTAGTTTAATACACAATACAGTTAAAACCTACGTAGAAGATCAGCTAGAGCCTACATTTTTTGAAGTCTGGCAAAATAGGTTCTTGTATTTTGAGGTAGTTATTGACAATTTAGGCTAAGTAGGTTCTTAATTTAAAGGTCTATTCAACGTCAAGATTCCTCTATCATGTGACGGAATACATGAACAAAAAAACACTTAAACTACATACATACATACTTTATTGTTACCTCCCCAATGGGGCTTTTCAGGAACAATTACTTAAATTACTAAGTTACTAATAACTACACAATCAAAATTAATCAAATTGAAAAACCATTTACAACATTGTCTAAACTTTGTAGTCGCGAAAAATACTAAAAATAAATGAAGTTTAGGGAGTATTTACAAAATTGTCTAAAAGCTTATTCTTTAAGATACGTTTAAAAACTTGAACTGAACAGCTTGATTTTAAAAAGGGGTCTAAATTGTTCCAAAGTCCAATAGTTCTGTAATAAAATGTTCTTTGTCCTGAAGCTGTTTACTTACGCTTCACTATGATAGTTCATGATACAAATTAGAGTCTGCTTATACTTACAGTGAACATAGTGAACAAACTGCACACAAACGAGCGAAACTCAACATGTCAGAGGAATATTGCCTTACCGTGTAACAGATATAATATCATGAGGAGGAGGCCGTGTTCCGTCATCTTAGAAGAAATGTGAAAACGATACGAGAATTTTCTTGAATAGAGCTGTAAAAATGGCCGCCTGTTTGCTGTGTGAAACAAGTGAATGCGCATGCTCCTAGTCTGTATCGTTCCCAGATCTCCAGTCACTCGAGTGGCGCTGGAGTAATCAAATATTAGTAT